CCTATTGCCAGGAACCTCCAGGTGGCCTTTTGCAGCCAGTGGCTCTTGGTCCCAGTGAAATGTGCTCCCTGCCATGTGCCAGCCTGCATGGGGTGCCTGCACATTTTAGTTCTTCCCACCAGTGCCGCAGACTCAGGCCAGCTGGTAAGGCACAACACTGCACTGCATAAAACCGCCTTGTGGAGTGGTGAGGAAAAGCTGCCTCTAACCTTCCTGTGCTCAAGTCCGAGTCCTTTAGTGCACAGGCCTTCTGTCCCAGGACAAGAAGAATCGCCCTCGTGCCCCCTGCCTTTCCCCTTCCCCTTCCCCTTCCCTTTCCACCAGTGAGGTTCAGTGCAAAAAGAAAGGAGAGTGAAGTACAGTCTTGTTATACAGCGCCTAAGCCTTATCCTCATACCTGCCTGTCCCTTCCCTGAATCCATCACCTCCTGCGGGGTGATGAGGGAGACCGCCTGTGCCCTCCTGGAGCTGACACAGATGGGGAGAGAATACACCTGGTGTGGGAAGCTGTATGGGACGCAGATAATTCTAGCTAGTCCCTTCGGCTCACAGTGGAGTTACTAATCAGTAGGAGAAAATGCAAAGGGAAACTACTTCGGAATCAGTAATTGCTGTGTTCCCAGGAAATCCTCCTTAAGTATGGAGGGGAAGGAATGCTTTAGAGGAAACTAAGGGCTGTAGCCCATACACTCATGTCATAGATGAGGTGCCCAAGACAAAGAGAGTAGGGAATACAGGTCCAAGAATGTCAGCAGGATGACTCTGTCCTCACTAAGCTATGCCGTTTTTCCTCCCATCTATGTTGAGGTTTTTCCCTCTGTTTTATTATGAAGAATGTCAAACACACAGCAAAGTTTTTATGTTTTTTGAGACAGTCTCATTCTGTCACCCAGGCTGGAGTGCAGTGGCACAATCTTGGCTCACTGCAACCTCTGCCTCCCATGTTCAAATGATTCTCCTGCCTCAGCCTCCCAAGTAGCTGGGACTACAGGTGCGTGCCACCATGCCTGCCTAATTTTTGTTTTTTTGGTAGAGACAGGCTTTCACCATGTTGGCCGCACTGGTCTCAAACTCCTGACTTCAGGTGATCCATCTGCCTCAGCGTCCCAGAATGCTGTGATTACAGGCGTGAACCACTGCACCCGGTGTACAGCAAAGTTGAAAGTGTGTAAAGAACACCCCTATTGCTGGGGCATGATGGCTCACACCTGTAATCCCAGCACTTTGGGAGGCCAAGGTAGGTGGGTCATGAGGTCAAGAGATCAAGACCATCCTGGCCAACATGGTGAAACCCTGTCTGTACTAAAAATACAAAAATTACCCGGGCATGGTGGCGCACACCTGTAGTCCCAGGTACTCAGGTGGTTGAGGCAGGAGAAACGCTTGAACCCGGGAGACAGAGCTTGCAGTGAGCTGAGATCCGGCCACTGCACTCCAGCCTGGGCGACAGAGCGAGACTCCGTCTCAAAAAAAACGAGAACACCCCTGTTACACAACACAGGCACCACCTGGAGTCTGCAGTGTACTAGACCCGTTTATCCATCCACCAACCCATCTTATCCTTCTGATGCATTTCATAGTAAAATGCAAACACCAGTATGCTTCCCTGTCGGGGTTTTTAACTAAAGTAGTGCACATTCGAGGCCGGGCGCAGTGGCTCACACCTGTAATCCCAGCACGTTGGGAGGCCGAGGCGGGTGGATCACGAGGTCAGGAGATTGAGACCATCCTGGCTAACACAGTGAAACCCCGTCTCTACCAAAAATATAAATAATTAGCCGGGCGTGGTGGCGGGCGCCTGTAATACCAGCTACTTGGGAGGCTTAGGCAGGAGAATGGCGTGAACCCGGGAGGCAGAGCTTGCAGTGAGCCGAGATCGCACCACTGCATTCCAGCCTGGGTGACAGAGCAAGACTCGGTCTCAAAAAAAAAAAAAAATAGAAAAAAATAAAGTAGTGCACATTCGAACACTACAGAAGTACATAAAAGGATTTTTCTCCAGGTCCTCCTTTCCTCTACCACTATGAAAGTGTGTGCATCCTTCCAGACGTTGATCTGTGCCTACACACGCATTTGAATATGTATGGTAGCTAGTGCTTTCAAGCAGGGGGATCACGCCCATGTGTTCATCCACTACTTGCCATGTTTGGAGTCTGAGGGGACAGACACTCCAGCAGCAGACTCTGTGCCATCCCCCTTCTCAGTTTGTGTCGCCCTTTCAGGCGGGCCCTCAGGCTAGCCAGGTGTTCCAGACAGAAAATGACCACAAGTTGTCCTGGTGGCCAGGAAGCGAGTGACTTCTCTCGCAACTCATGTGCCTGGGGACTTAAAGATCGAATCGGTTCCATTTTATGCTTTTTCCTTGGGGTTCCTGGTAGGGGGCTTTGAGGAGTGGAAGCCATAGGCTTCTGGGCCTTGAAGAATCTTCATTTTATGGGCCCCAGGTGTTTGCCTTTCCACCGAAATAATAAGAGAACACAAAGAAACAGCAATGAGAAGGCCTCTCAAGCAGAGGGTCCCAGTCCCAGCCCCACCATCTGCGAACCCTCTCATGAGGTGTGTGACTTCCTTGGGCTTCCGGATCCTCATTCGCAAAATGAGAATAACACCGGGTGACCTGCCCAGCTTGGAATATGGTGAGGCTCAAAGGAAAACACGCACACGTGTTTGTCATTGGCAGTGTTCGGGACAGTTAAGCTCCTTTAGTGATGGAGAAGGGATCCTGCCACAAGCTCTGCCTTCTTCACAGCCGAGACACCGCTCTCCTGATATTTCCCCTGTGGCGTGGAGAACTTCTGGGTCGCCTTTTGTTCACGCCGCCTCTTTCACCTGCCCTTCAAATTCTCATGTCAGCCTGGGTTTGTCTTCTGCCTTCTTTGGATTTTGGTCTGAACTTTCTCCCCGGACTGCCTCTTTATCCCACATCCATGCCTGGCACCCATGTCTCTGTTCCAAACCTCAGCTCTAGGCTTCAGCAGCCTCCTGGAGGTCTCCATCAGCTGGCCAGGCCTCCTCCCACCCAACTCAGAATCCGTCCCTTCCTTCTCATGCTTTCCTTCTGGGCACCCTCCCTTAGCGCAGGCACCTGCTGTTTGCCCCACTGCCCCCATCGGCACACGCAGGGCTGCTGCGCACTCCTTGTTGTCAGCCCCAGTCACCACAGCAGAACACAAGGCTGTTCCCTGTGCCCAGAATCTCCCGTCACCACTCCAGCCTCATCCATCCTCAGCCTTCTCCAAAGCCTTCCTGGAACAGCCTGATGAGGCCTCTTTCTCCATTCCCTCGCCCCTGGGCCTGCGCGTCAGAAGATGTCCTGGAAGTCCTCACGCTGTGCCTTTCGGTCTCCTCGTTCGGCATCCCTACTAGTCTGTGAGCTGCTTGAATCCCAAGATCACGACTATTCACTGTCGCCGGCACGCAGAATGTCATAGGACTTAATAAAAACCACTGGGTTCCCACAGGTGCAAGTAGCTTCCTTCCATTTCTTCTTTTTGGGATGGTGAGCAGGGTCATTTTTGTTTCTTTCTTTTTAAACATTGAGATGAAATTCACCATAAAATTAACCATTTTTATATGTGCAATTTAATAGCATTTAGGACATTCACAACCCCCATCTTTATCTGGTTCCAAACACTTCATTGCCCCACAAGAAAACCTCTGATGTGATTCCACTTATATGAGGTAGCTAAAATAGTCAAACTCACAGAAGCAGAGAGGAGAAAACTAGTGGCGGCCAGGGGCTGGGCGAGGGGGAGGGGAGTGGTGCATTAATGGGTGTAACATTTTAGTTATGCAAGATGAGTAAGTTCTAGACATCTCCCATACAACATAGTGCCTACAGTTGACAATACTGTATTGTATACTTGAAGATTTATTAAGAGGATACAGCATATGTTAGTCTTACCACAAAAAAGTTTTTAAAAGGGGAAAAATGGGTCGGGCGTGGTGGCTCATGCCTTAATCCCAGCACTTTGAGAGGCCAAGGTGGGCAGATCACAAGGTCAGAAGTTCAAGACCAGCCCGGCCAACATGGTGAAAGCCATCTCTACTAAAAATACAAAAATGAGCCAGACGTAGTGGTGGGCGCCTGTAATCCCAGGTACTTGGGAGGCTGAGACAGAAGAATCACTTGAACCCAGGAGGCGGGGATTGCAGTGAGCCGAGATAGTGCCACTACACTGCAGCCTGGGCAACAAAGTGAGACTCCACCTCAAATAAAAGGGTGGGGGAAAGAAAACCCCTTCCCCATTAAGTAGTCACTCCCCGTTTCCCCCGTCCCCAATCCCAATCTCCTTTCTCTCTATGAATGTATCTATTCTGGACATTTCATATGAGTGGGTTCATACAATAGGTGGTTTCTTTTACTTTATGTAATATTTTTGACATTTATCCATGTTGTAGCATGTGGCAGTTCTTCCTTTTCCTGACTGAGTAGTATTCCATCGTCTGGATACATCATCTCTGTGGATCCGTTGCACAGCTGGTAGACACTGGGTTGTTTCCACCTTTGGGCTGTTGTGAACAACGCTGCTGTGAACCTCCATGCACAAGGATTTTCTTGGGGACCAGTTTCTTCCTCTCATTCTTGCCTCCTACCACTCTCTCCATTACCATATTTTTCTAAACCAGACATCAGCGCACCAGCTGCGTGTGTTAAGTTTAGGGAAAGCATCTGTGGAGGGAAACAGCTTGCCTCATGTTGCCCCTGCTTCGTGTCTACCCTTCTCCAAGCCTTTTTTGTCCACTGTCACCTAGGCTTTTGGTTAATTGCGTGTTGGGATTAATCCCATTTTGTCTTTGGGTAATTAACATGTGGTGTCCACGCATTATCTATCTCCATGGTGAGAGTCAAGGTCCCTCTTGGGTTTCTGTGTCCCCTGCAGAGCCGAGCACAGCTTGGGGCAGCTTAGCAGTTCCCTAGTTCCTAGGCTCTCACCTGCCCCGTGCCACCTGTCCACTGGTGACTAACCCTCTTGCACTCTCCCCTGTCCCCCTTGCAGATGATGTGCTGACTAAAGATGCGGGTGAGTGTGTGATCTGCCTGGAGGAGCTGCTGCAGGGGGACACGATAGCCAGGCTGCCCTGCCTGTGCATCTATCACAAAAGGTAGGAGGGTTTGGCAGGGTAGCTCAGTGCACCCCACCTCCCAGAGGGGCAGACCCCCATCTCCAGCCATTCTGTTTCCTTTGGTTATGGGATGATCTCTCCCCCAACCTCTGGCTCCGAGTGGGTAAGAGCAGAGGCTGTCAGACAGGTGTCCACTGTGCCGGCGGGAAGGTGCGAGCATCCCAAGCGCAGGGCAGAGCTGAGTTGCCAGAGGTGTGCTCTGGTTTGAGGACTCAGGTGGTGGGAGCTGATGGGGAGGCCTGTGGAGCCTCACAGGTTGGAGGAGCTTAGGATGCCACCGGGAAGGTTGGTTCTCCGTCTGTCTCCCTGCCTCTTCTTCTTCTACGGGCCCTCTGCTCCACGGGGGGAGAACATCAATCTGTGCGAGGAAGGCCAGGCGGAGGGTGTGCCCACTGCCTTGCACTGACCTTCTCCCTAGAGGGCCAGGAGGCAGGAAGAGCCATTTCCTGTGGGGCCACAGCACTGGGAGCAGTTGTAAGTAGCAGGCCCAGATTCACCCTCAGGCTCCAGTGTGAGCCTGGTCCTTGTTTCCAGCCAGAAGGAAGGCATCCTCTTGCCCAAGAGAGGAGGACACTGTGCTGCCTGTCGCCAGCACCTGCTGAATCCTTGAGCCCAGAGCTTCTTCCTGACACTCAGGTCTTTCAAAGCCTGACTCTCAGGGCCACTGCTGCACAGGATGACAACCAGGCACGACACGCGGCATGGCTGGTGCAGAGGAGGCTCAAGGCTGGCCTGGGAGAGATTCTTGGTCTAGCTCCCAGCACGGAGCCTTGCTTGTGTCCCAGGGAGGCACTAACCAGAACCAGAAAAGGAAATCTTTGACTCTCAGGGAGAATTATGCAAATTATCTGTCTGGTTCCTGTCTTTGAAAATGCCCAGATGTTGGTTTACAAATCAGGAAGCTGTCTTGGGGCAATCTCTGTTCCCTCTTTGATGCAGAGGGCCTTGCTCTGTAAACACTGGACACCAGGGCTGACTGTCTCTGGTCTGACTCCCCTCCTGCCTCTTGCAGTAAGGACTAGATGCTGCTATCAGCTGATCACGGCTGAGCAGGGTAGAGCTTGGGGCTCTCCTAAGAGGTCACCCACTGGGAGGGAGCCTCACAGCTGTTCTTTTGACCCAGGAAGGAGCTCTTTCAGGACCCTGGCGCCCAGAGCCATGGCCCTTCTGCCGTGCCATTGTTCCCATTTCCCTGTCCTTGGAGTCTTAGAGACAGCTGACTAGCTGCCCTGCGGGGTCCACCGCTCTCACCTCACTGGTGGCTGCTGCCATCCTCCTGGGCCCTGTGCACAGAAAGCTTTGGTCCTTCTCAAGGCCACTCTCCCCCTTCCTACAGCACCACATCCCCCTGAGCCAGTACCCACCACCACTGCCTCTGGCTGGGCCAAGACTAATCTTGGTGTTCTCCCTTCTTCGTGCTTGAGAAAGTAGCCATGTCTGAGGACATGATTGTGTTTCTCTGGGGTCCTTTCAGAAGAGACTTAGGAAGCTCCTGCTCAGGAATCTGGCCCTTTGAAAGAGCCCCTTCAAAGCAGCCTGGGCAGCAGGTAATGTGGTTTCCCTTGCGGCCCCCTCCCCCCAGCTGCATAGACTCGTGGTTTGAAGTGAACAGATCTTGTCCGGAACACCCTGCGGACTGACCTGCGGGCTTGCTTGCTGACTCCTCTCAAAGGTGAGCCCGCGTTTGGGGGTGCTCCCGGCTCAAGGCTTGGGGTCAGGTCACTTTGGGGGCATGCAGTTTAGGGAGCAGGGCTGCCCTTATGCCACTGAGAAGAAAGCAGGAGCAGAGGGAAGGAGAACCTTATCAATTAGTCATCTGGAAATGATTTTCCCTGGGAAGGACAAGAGATACAAATCAACATGGGCAGTTATGAAGAACAGGCTCAGAAGAGTTAGGATCAGCTGGGGAAGAGACCAGTACATTCTACATTCCTAAAGAAAGTTCAGGAATATCCCCTGGGAATGTGCACGGGCAGGAAAAGGAGCCTGAGCGCTGGGTTTGTGCCTGGCATGGTCTCATCCTCGCTGAGCTCTGAGTCTCTGCCTCTTCTCTGGTAACGGGGATAATCTCACTCCCTGTTGCCATAAGGACATTGCACTTACTAAACAGCCAGCCATGGGCAGCGGTGCATTGTTCCCTACAAAGTGCTCGTCAGTGATCATTTGACCACTGCTTCTTCCCATGCCGCTTCCAGATGAATCTGAGGCCTCCAGGCCAGACTCGATCTCGATCCCTCCATCCCACAGCACTGGGTGCTGACTCCACACATCGCTCTGGCTCACCGCTGGGTCTGGCCTCCCCATTTCTTCCCCAAGGGTACCCCGCTTGCTGCCAGCCATCCACCCCTGACCCCCATCTCACCTGTCCCTTCCAAGTTCTGGGCTGGCATTTTCCTTTTTCTGGCAAACAAGTAGACAAAACCCCCATAAAAACCAAAAGCCGAACTCCATCTCACAGCCAAAGGTTTTGGGGCCTCTCTTCTTCCCCTCCCTTTCTCTCTCTCTTGTTTTTGTTTTCTTTTGTTAGGTTTATTTTATTTATTCCAAGTAAACTCTCCCAGAACAGCTGATGATGTCAGACAAATCAGGGACATTTGCTTTTTTTTTTACCTTCACCTCAAAAACTGATGACAAGGGGAGAAGAAAGAGCCAGGGGGAGAGTGAGGCAGGGGAGTAGAACCTGCCCAGGCGCATGGCTGCAAATTCCCCATGTGCTGTTTGGCTTCTGGGGTCCTGTGTAGTAGATGCCCCAGCCCCGCCTGCCCTCTCGGGATGCAGCTGCCCTGGGATGCAGCCGCCAGCCCTCGGCCCGACGGAGCACGACTTATTTATTACGGTCCACACAGGGACAGAGAGCCCCTGCTCCAGGGAGGAGGCTCACCGGACCCTGGGGCGGAGCTGAGCTTGGGACACCAGCGGGAACAGGGCACCCCTTCTGCACTGACTTCCAGATCATGGTTCTCCCTTCCTCCCTGAGGACACCAAATTGGATGAGAGCAAGTTTGAGAGAAGAATGAATCAACTGCTATCCTTCCCCTCACCCCTCAGCCCAGGAGGGAAAGGGCATTTTCTTTTTCATCTTTGAAAGGCATTGTGGGTCTGTCTTTAAAGTGTTTACAAAAAAAAAAAATTATATAAAAAAAAGTCTAGTGTCGACTGGTGTTTTCCCTCGTGATGTTTACAGCTTGCTGTTTGCTGCCCAGCCATAACCCACTCAGTGACAGACGAACACAGCCAAGCCCTCGCCGCCAGCCTTCTGACGGTGGGCGAGCACACAGTCTCTTCCCCTGCCCCAACTGGCCTTCTCCACCACCAACTTGTCTACTTTGGGTTTGGTTTTTTTTCTTCTATTTTTCTGGCTTGGTTTTTTGCTCTTTTCTCCCTTTGAGACCCTAATATCTTGACTTCATTGCCAAAAAACAACCCATCGAGAACTTTCTTCCCACTGATCCCATCTCTTTTTCCCTTCTTTCCTCCTGGTTCCGGTCAGTTCAGAGGATTTAACAATCACAAGTGTCCTGCAAAAATGCCTGAACTTTATTCTTAGGCCCTTGTGGATTTTTTTTCCCAGAAAACTTAAACAAAAAAAGACTTACTAAGAAATATGTACAGCTACCCCTGTTTTCAGGCACTATGTTTGAGAACATTTTAGCCATTGATGTTCACACGTGGCATCAGCCCATGCAAGATAGGTTTCTGTATTTATATATTAAAATACAAAAAAAAACTTATAAAATGTTTAAAAAAATGTTCAAAGCTTGGGAGAAAAGCTTTCTTCATTAGTCAAGGTGTTTTGATATGGTATTAAAATGTCTAATAAAAGATACACTGTGTGATTTTATTTTAATGAGGTGTTGTTATACAACCAAGAAATGGGGGCAGGGGCCTGCCCCCCAATCCCTCACCTACCTCCTTAGCATTCCTTCAGGCTGCTGCTCGGGGCTCCAGGTGTGTGAATTGGTCCTCAGACAGGCCTGGGTGGAGGGAGAGTGGCAAGTCAGGCGTGCCTCCTACAAGCTTCCTAACCTCTTAAGCATCATGGAACCAGTCAGCCCTCCTCTGTGGAGTCATTGTGCCGGACCTCTGAAAAGATCTGCAGGGGCCAAGATGTTGCAGCCACTGGAGGCTGCAAGGATGTGGGTTCTTCCAGGTGTGGGCCCAGCCCCCCTCCTTCCAGCCTCTGCTCCCCATCCCACGTTCCACTCGCCCTGCCTGTTGTTCAGTTTGCATCTCAGTGCTGACTCACGGGCATGCTTCATTGAGGCCCAGGAAGAGGCCCTGGTTTGGGGCTGTGCCAGTTCAGAGCCCTTGAACCAGAACCAACTGCTCAGGCTCACAAAAGTTGGCAAAATGCAGGCTGGGCGGGCAGCTCGGGGCAGGGAGCAGCAGTGCAGGCCTGGCCTGTGTCCCCATGCCCCGCGGGCTCCCAGAGCAGCGTTCCAGAGCCTCCTGCAGAGCCAGCGAAGGAAAGCTGTGGAGGGAGATGACTCCACCGCCTCTCTGCTCTGACCCTTCTCAGGCCCGCCTGATGTCTGGACCACCCCCCTGCTGCCACAGCCCCTGGCTCCGCAGTCACCCTCCATCAGATGCTTCCAGAGGCACCTACTGTGTGCAAGGGCATTCACAACGGGCCAGTGGGCAAACGTGAGCCAGGGCCAGCGGAGAAACACTAAAGACGACTCGGTGGTTCAGAGCCTGGGCCTCAGCGCGGGACCCGTCTGGGGTGAAGACCTTGGGGCTGTTGTGAGTCGACGGCAGGAACGTGGGCTCTAGACTGTGCATTCAGGCTCTCCTACTTGGCAGAATGATCTTGGGGAAACGACTTCATCTGAACTTCAGATTTTTCACATGTGAAGTGGGGACAAAACCATGCAGCTCAGAGGTCCCTGTGGGGGCCGGGGGAGCTGCCCTGCAGGTCCTGGCACATGCACAGCAGGCTCCCCATAGCTTTGTCACCACAAAGGGCACTGTTCTATTCACAGCACCTCCTGCTTCTGCCTGGCAACTGTGTCTCCCTGTGCTATATTTAATTCCACCAGCAAAGCTGGCAAGGCAGGGCCCAGCCCTGAAGGAGATCTCCTTGCCTGAGCCCTGGATCTGGAAACGGAGGCTTCCATGTGCCCACCTTGGCGGCTTAAGCCTGCTGCTTTGGCAGTGCCACGGGTGAGCCGAGCAGCTGTGAGTTGGGTGGGGCAGGGCTGTAGCCCACGCCGGGTGCTATTCCAGGCTCCAGGGGCTGGTGCTCATCCCCACCCCCAGCGACTTCAGTCCTACCTGGCACGCTGCAGCCCTCTGCCGGCTGCGGGGTCCTCTGAATCGAGACCCAGGTTGCCTGCTTTTGGTGTGGGGGTGGGATTGGGGCTGTCTGAGCTTGCCAGGTGGAGCTCATGTTTGTGATCCTCTGTCCGGACAGCTCTCCAGAATCCTGTGTTGCCCCTGCTCTGCCTTTCTGGGATGGGAGAGAACGTGAGGGAGCCGGCGAGCAGGTTCTACCCACTCTGCTAAGGGCCTAGCACACTTTGATGAGGTTCCTAGATATGAGCCCCTCACAAAGACCAACCATTCCTCTAACAGCCATTTAAAGGTACTGAAGTTCATGGGAAAATGTCCTCATTCTTAGGAGATAGATGCTGAATTATATAGGTGAATGTCTTCAAGAAATGTGTAGTTTAATTCCAAATGGTTCCCCCCAAAATACACAAAGCAAATAAGGCCAAAATGTTCATTGTTGAATCTGCAGTGGCTGGTATTTCAGTGAACAGTGTACTTGTTCTTTCAACTTTTCTGTATGTTTGGAATTTTTCTTAATAAAAGATTGTGGGAAACGGTCATTTGCTGAGCGCCTCCTAGTTGCCAGGCGCTGGAGGGCGCATCAAAGAAGAGTCCTATCCAGCTGCTGCAGGATTCCCACCTGGAGGAGTGGGTGACTGGCTGGCTGGCTGGAAGGGGAGGGGCGAGAGGGCTGTCTCGGTGATGAGCACACGTGTGCTGGGGTGGTTTGGGGAGAGGGCTGAGATTTGTCACCAATCAGCCCTTGGCACGGTCTCTGCTCCCCACCAGGGCAGCACGGGACAGAAACGTCACAGAGTGGCCTCCAGGCTCAGGTCGGTGTCACCGCTGTCGGCGGGAGCCCAGTGTTAGCATGGAGCGGGGGGGTTCCGAGAACTGAAGTTGGACTGAGGCGTCTCACTGCAGCTGCCTCTGCCTAAGGCCTAGCAGCCTGCCTGAGCACTGAACAGCTAATGGGAGGAGGAGAGGGGCGGAGGCCAGGGAGGGCATGGGGTGTGGCATGCCCCTTTCCAAAAGGGACCGAAGACTAGAGGGGCCTGGAAGATGAGACAGCACTACAGGTTCCTGGGATCTGCGGGGGTGGAGGACTTAGCTTGGCTTCTGGGCTGCCAGGCCTTCCCTGACCCTAGGAGGAGGTTTGCCCAGGGCTGAGAGCTGCAGGCCCGGGGCAGAAGTGAGTCCTGAGCCGGCAGATGCCGCGTATCTGAGCTTCATGATGTCGGGCGCCCTCCTGTGGGCTTAGGGGGAACAACTGCCAACATCTCAAGACTAAAGACTGAGGCTCTGGCCCAAGACAGGGCCTCCGGTGGACAGACCTTGAGGGCAAAACAGCTGGTGGTACGATACATAACCCCATGAAGAGGTGGGTGCAAAAATAGTTTCATCTCTGTTTCTGAAGACGTGGCAGCTGCTGAGGAACACATTCAGTGTGTTCAGAGGCCTGGTTCAGGTCCAGTTGGAGAGTCCATCCAAGTGACATGCCGTGGGCAGGTCCTCAGGCCTGAGGCCGAGTAGCTGGGACAGGGACCTGGGTTCCTTTCCGAACCCTAAGCACCGCCCCCCTCCTCAGGCTATAACAAGTCAGAGGACAGCCCCAAAACAAAGGGGTCACTAGCCAAAGGACAGAGAACCTGGAGCGGGAGGGGAGGAAGTGCTGCCTGCTGACTTCCAGGTCGCTGCAGGTGGGTTTCAGGTTTATTCCAGATTTATTGGGGGAGGCTCCAAGGAGAAGACCTACTAGCATGGCACGGGAGCTCACGTCCCATACCAGGAAAGGAGTGCCTGTCACCAGGTGAAGAGGGAAGGGTCCTGGGACCCCAGCAGTGGGAGGCCTCAGGGGAGGAGTGTCATCAGAGTCTTGAGTGGACCCAGATGGTCTCTTCCAGCCAGGACAGGATGCGTAGAAGCAGAGAGGAAGCAGCTTTGCTGGGAACCACCCAGGGTCGTTTACTGAACCAAAGGCTCCTGGAGCCAGCCAGAAGAACGGGGAGTAGCACGGTGCTCAGGCTTCTCTCTGGGCGCTCTGACCTTGGGCCCAGATACAGTGGACTCACTGGCAGCAAGACTGCGTCAGCTACTGTCTATTCCCTTGCAGGGGCCGTGGCATGAAGAAAAGTTCCAGAGCAGGGGCTCCGTAGTCTTGGAACTTGTGGGCTAAGTGCTCAGAGCCCCTCACAGCACTTTGCCCGGGTTCATGAGGCCTTGAGGGTCTAGCACAGCCTTGAGCTGCCGCATGGTCTCCACGCCCACGGCGCCCACCTCCTCCTGCAGCAGCTGCCGCTTGCCCAGTCCGATGCCATGCTCCCCCGTGCACGTTCCGTGGAGGGCCAGTGCCCGCCTGGGGGCGGGAAGGAGACATCCTCATGGGGCCCCCTTCCCTCTGCCCTCAGCTATTCCCCTCCCTGACTTTGCTCCTACCTGCCCAGCTGTTCTGCAAAAGCCTTGACCCTACCCAGTTCCTCAGCGTCATCAGGGTTGACCAGCAGGATGCAGTGGAAGTTGCCGTCACCCACATGCCCGACAATGCTTCCTGGAGGCCCAGAGGACAGAACTGTTCACCCTCCCTCTTGCCTCCTGCTGCCCCAGGCTCTGGTCAGCCCCGACACCCCCCCACCTCTCCCCAGCAGCAGGGTGGGCAGAACCTGTGAGTCCCGAGGCGTTCAGATCCTCCTTGGTCTGCACCAGGATCTCCGGCAGCCGGGAGATGGGCACACACACGTCCGTGGAGTAGCCCTGGTCAGAGGGAGGCCTGTGAGTTACCCCTGCCTGCCTGGGGGTATGGGGTCACCGTGGTCAAAGCTGAGGACAGGTCTGGGGGCACTGGGCTTCAGCTCTTGGCCTCGCACAAGGAAATAATCGTGCTCTTCTCTAGGCCTCAGCCCTCACCTCCCCCCAGCACAACACAGGAGACAAATGGCCCAGGCGTGCTTGCCACACCTCCCGGTAGAGGCTGTTCCCACTCCCCTGTGGCTCCCACTGCCAAGCTCCAGGCTGCTAAGCCTTTGCACAGCTGCCTGGAGCCCAGATTCCCCTTCCCCAGGTTAGGCTAACATCCCCCTCTCTATCATCTCTTCCTCCACGAAGCCTTCCTTCCGTTTACAACTCCCAAGAGCACTACACCGTTCCCACGACCTGGCTCACAGGAAGGGCTTTTGAGGGCTTAGCAGACAACTGTGCTTTCCCTGTAGACAGTATCTGAACAGCTGGGTGGGGCGACCTGCAGCCCCCGGTTCTAGCACCTGCTCAGCCAGGCCCAGCCCCCTTGTTGAGGCTCGGACTGTTGCTCTGTGCAGTAGAGTGGTGGGCTGAGGAAAGGGTTTGTGGGCTGAGCTGTGGGCCCCATCTGCACCCCAGTCCCAGCTCACCTTGCAGCCTGGCCGCATGGCCAGGGCTGCGTACCAGGCATTGTGCCGTGCTGTCCAAAGCTGGCTGCGCTCCTCGGCCGCCTTGGCCCAGGAGAAGTCAGAGGCTCCGTTCTGCTGGACTATCTCCTCTGCAGTTGGGGTAGGGAGGCTGACACCCGGCTGTCGCTGAGGCAGCCCACCCTGCTGCCCCACTCCACCCCAGCATACCTGTGCGTTGCAGCTGCTCCTCCAGTGCCTGCTGGGAGCCATGGAACTCCAGGAAGAGTGTGGGTGCCACTGAGCAGTTCAGCTTGCTGTACCTGTTGCAGGCATCCATCATGACTTCATCCAGGAACTCTGGATCCAGGGAGAGGGCAGGCCAGGTGAGTCCTGGCCTTCCCAGGGGGCCTCTTCCAGGGAGCCCACCCTGACTGCCCCGTCCTCAGCTCACCAATGCGGGCTACGGGCACTGCAGCCTGGAGGATGTGTACAGTGCTGTCCACAGCAGCCTGGACACTGGGGAACGCACACGTGGCGGCCACTATGGCCTCAGGGACAGGGTGCAGGCGCAGGGTGGTGGCTGTGATGAGGCCCAGCGTCCCCTCAGAGCCCACGAACAGCCCAGTGAGGTTGTAGCCGGCTGCACTCTTCCTAGGTCCCAGGGACACGCAAGGTGAGTACCAGGCTGTGTGATGAGGGATTTCTGGCCAGAAGCCCAAGCTGGAACCCAGGACACCGACCCCAGGCACTGAGGTCTGGGCTGGCCTCCCTCGGGCCCAGATTCCCTGGCCCAATTCTTTCTGCTCCACAAAGCAAATCGGCCTCACGCAGGGAGAGCAAACCCTGTTCCCATCCACTTTGGCCCAAGTGACAGGGCTTCAGAGCCTGGGGAAGCCTAGCCTGCCAAACCAGGAGGCCGGCAGGAGGTGTCTTTCACAGCCCGGGCAGCCCCCCAGCAGTGCCCAGGGCCAGGGCCCCCGCAGAGGGCACTCACCGGAAATGCCGGCCTTGGCCCGCCGTGTGCAGCAGCCGCCCGTCGGGCAGCACCACCTCCAGGTTGAGCACGTTGTCCCGCATGGTGCCGTAGCGGACCGCGTTGGTGCCCGACGCCCCGGTGGCCGCCATGCCACAGAGAGAGGCGTCCGCACCTGGGTCTGGAGGGCGGCGTACAGGAGAAGGCAGCCTCAGAACGGGAGGTCCTTTCCCTCGGGCTGGGGGAGGAAGGTCCCCTGAGCCCCAGACACAACCCTGCTCCCAACGTGCCCTCAGGGCCCCAGGAAAGGTTCGCGAGTCCTACCCACGGGAAACCAGAGGCCGCTATCCCGCAGGTGGAGGTTGAGAGCTTTGCGGGTGACGCCCGGCTCCACCACCACGGAGAAGTCCTCCAGGTTCAGCTCCAGGATTCGGTCCATATGCGTCAGGTTAATGCAGACGCCGCCCTGGTGGGAGCGGGTGCTGAGACCACTGCATATCTAGGTCTCTGACCTGGCCACGTCCCCGGGTCACAGCCCGCGGGTGTCCCCCCAGCAGCCAGACCAGACCCCCAGAAGCGGGCAGCCCGCGGGCGGGCGCAGACCCAAGGAGCTGTGTGCGGCGGGGGAGGCAGCCACAGGTGTGCCAAGGTGGGGGACCAGCCCCGAGGCGGGCAGGGGAGCCACACGGTACCTGCACAGCGCAGACGCCACCCTCAAGCCCGGTGCCGGTGCCGAATGGGATAATGGGCACACCTTGGCGGTAGCACAGGGCTGCCAGCCGGCTGACCTGCTCCACGTTCTGGGGCCACACCACAGCATCGGGAGGTTCGCACCTAGAACCAGACCCTCAGTGATTTACGGGGGCGTGGCACCCTCTGGTCCCGAGGTGTTGCAGGGCCTGAGGCTACAGCGAACGAGGGGCAGAAAACATGCCAGAGCACCCCAAAACAGGTGAGTGAGGGGGAACGCAATCCAGGACCCTCGCTCTCAGCTGGGGTTGAATCCAGAAGATGGGAGGGGTCTGCGAGCCCTCCCATACCTGTGCACCGACTCATCGCGCCCGTGCTGCTCTCGGACCACCGTGGCAGTGGACACGTGGGAGCCGCCCACCACGGCCTTCAGAGCCTCTACGAAGTCCCTGCAGAGCTCGCCCTGCAGGGGAGAAACACACTGCCAGGGTCCCCCGAAAGACACCTGGGGCCACAGCCCTGCCCCAGTGTCAGCGTGGAGGGCTGGGGGCTGGAGTGAGCTTCCCCTGCCGACCCCCGGCTGACAACATCCTTGCCAGGTAGGCCCTCTTTAAACAAACCCACTCTCCAGAAATGCCTCTTTTCCAAACACAGCCATTGGGGTCAAAGTTGCCCCTCAGAAAAAAAACGCTACCAGAATTTTTTTTAATGTTTTCTTTTTTAATAAAAACAGGGTCTTACTATGTTGCCCAGGATGATTTCAAACTCCTGGGCTCAAGCGATCCACCTGCCTCGGCCTCCCAAAGCGCTGGGGTTACAGGCATGAGCCAAGGCGCCCGGCCATCCAAATACAAAATCAGAATTCGCTCTCCAAAAAGGCTATCAGCAGTGTTCCTTCAATAGCCAGCCCAGCCTGAGCCAACTGAAAAGGTCCCTCACTTCCTCCTTTCTCCAGGGCCAACCAAGCACCACCCCCGCCACAGGCGACTCAGAGCTTGATAAGGGAATGACAGAGAGGAAAAGCTTTCACTGCCCCCTCCCCACTCTGCCCTGGCTGGGGCTTCTGGAGCCCTTCGTGGGGGGCTGGGGAGGGGAGCAGTTTCTTCCCATTTTACAGATGAGAAATGGAGGCCAAGTTAAGGACAGAGCCTGGCCTGGAACCTAGATCCTTTCCTCCAGGGCCTTCTTCCACAGGTGTGTTTTATTCCAGAGCCACCCAAGGGCATCCATTTGACTCCCCCAGCCCCACTCATGGTAGCAGTGGGGACTCAGCTGATCTCTACACTCACTCTACACCCACACTTGCCACAGGGTAAGCCCAGTGCCCTTTTGCCCAAGGTCAGGTCACTTGGTGCTGGGGCATCACAGAGCCCAGGAAACTTGGGATCAGAACCCCCTGTTCCCCGCTCCCCACCTCATCCCTCCAGGGGACTTCTCTTCTCTCCCGGTACCTTTGCCTTCTGGGAGCAGTAGCCCCTCCAGGGGAACAGCCCCCAGGTTGCAGCCCGGAGCAGTCGGGCCATAGCCAGGCACCTGCCAGAGGGTGTGAGCGCTGGGTGGCAGGGTGACCAGTCAGCTACTGTGGCAGCAGCTGCGGCTGCTGTCAGCCCATTGGCTAGGCCGGGGGTGGGGCCTGCTTAAGGTGGCATGGGCTTTAAGGTGGCCCTTGCAGATCTTGCAGACATTTTCGTAGGCGCCAGGGATGACACTTCTAAAGGAGAAGTGAGGTTCACTGGACGTTTAGGGAAACTGTAAGGCAAAAATAAAATTCTAAGCCTCCCAACCGACCGAATGGACTTTCGTCTCAGCCAAGGGCATTCCAAAGTAAACCTGAAAAATTAATTCAGGCTGTGATGGGAAGGGGTTTAGGACATGCCTCATTATCCCCCTCCTCCCTTTAGAATTCAGACACAACTGACTAGCATTAACACTAAAACAGAGATCTTAAGGCATTCTGATCTTCAGACACAAAACACTCTTTGTAGCAATAAGATACCAGATTCCAACCTGACTCTAGCATCACCTGACAGATAGCAGGCCCTGAAAGAAATTGATGTCTTTTACCCCCAATATCTATTCCTTTGATATTTTTAAAAATAGCTCCAAAAAGCTGTCTTTTGTGGGGAAAATCTAGAATCTGTAGAGAAGCCCCTCCCCCTGCCAGGAATTTTTTTTTTTTTTTTTTTTTTTGACGGAGTCTCACTCTGTTGCCCAGGCTGGAGTGCAGTGACGTGCGGCAACCTCCAGCCCCTGGGTTCAAGCAATTCTCCTGCCTCAGCCTCCCAAGTAGCTGGGATTACAGGTGCCTGCCACTGTGCCCAGATAATTTTTGTATTTTTAGTAGAGATGGGGTTTCACCATCTTGGCCAGGCTGGTCTTGAACTCCTGACCTCGTGATCCACCTGCCTCGGCCTCCCAAAGTGCTGGGATTACAGACATGAGCCACTGAGCGCCCAGCCTCTTTCCAGGTTTTATCCTGATCTAAGGGAGATTTAACTAAGAGTCTGGCACCTTTTAAGGCCTTAGACATTTACCATCTATGTTACATAATAAGAACCTTGGGCCGGGCGCGGTGGCTCACATCTGTAATGCCAGCACTTTCAGAGACCAAAGTGGAAGGATCACGAGGTCAAGTGATAGAGACCATCTTGGCCAACATTGTGAAACCCCATCTCTACTAAAAATACAAAAATTAGCTGGGCATGGTGGTACACGCCTGTAGTCCCAGCTACTTGGGAGGCTGAGGCAGGGGAATCGCTTGAACCTAGGAGGCGGAGGTTGCAGTGAGCCGAGATCGTGCCACAGCACTCCAGCCTGGTGACAGAGTGAGACTCCGCCTCAAAAAAAAAAAGAACCTTGGTCTCCACAACTCCTTATCTTAACCCAGATGCTTCTTTCTATTGATTCCAGGTTGTCTTTTTAAAATTTTTTAATTAAAAAAATTTTTTTGTTGTATACCAAGATTCCAAGTCTTTGGATAATAATTCTTTTTTTTTTTTTCTTTTTTTTTTTTGAGACGGAGTCTCACTGTGTCACCCAGGCTGGAGTGCAGTGGCCGGATCTCAGCTCACTGCAAGCTCCGCCTCCTGGGTTCCCACCATTCTCGTGCCTCAGCCTCCTGAGTAGCTGGGACTACAGGCGCCCGCCACCTTGCCCGCCTAGTTTTTTGTATTTTTTAGTAGAGACGGGGTTTCACTGTGTTAGCCAGGATGGTCTCGATCTCCTGACCTCGTGATCCGCTCGTCTTGGCCTCCCAAAGTGCTGGGATTACAGGCTTGATGGATAATAATTCTTTCAACCAATTGAAAATCAGAAAAAAAATTTTTTTTTTTTTTTTTTTTTTTTTTGAGACAGAGTCTCACTCTGTTGCTCAGGCAGTGGCATGATCTCAGCTCACTACAACCTCCATCTCCTGGGTTCAAGTTGTTCTCATGCCTCAGCCTCCCAAGTAGCTGGGATTACAGGTATGCCACCATGCCCAGCTAATTTTTGTATTTTTAGTAGAGACAGGGTTTCACCATGTTGGTCCAGGCTGGTCTCGAACTCCTGACCTCAAGTGATCCACCCGCCTTGGCTCCCCAAAGTGCTGGGACTACAGGTATGAACCGTGCCCAGCGCCAATCAGAAAAGTCTTTGAATTCACCTATGATCTGTAAGCTCCTCCCTCCATCGGAAGGAACCAACGCATACCTTGCTCATATTGATTAGTGTCTGATGTCTCCCTAAACTGTATAAAAGCAACTATAACTCGAGTCTCTTGGATACATGTTCTCAGGACCTTCAGGGAATGTGTCACAGGTCATGGTCTTCATGTTAGTGGTGGCAAATCCATACAGGTCTACAAAAACCTCAATGCTTGCCTTGTCAGAAGAAAGAATTCTACTGAAGAGTTCTGAAACGAAAATATCTTGAGCCCCCAAAATTACTAAGCTAAAGGGAAAAGTCAAGCCGGGAACTGCTCAAGGCAAACCTGCCTCCCATTCTTTCAAAGTCACCCCTCTGATCACTCAGCTAAATGCATATCTGACTGCCTCCTTTGGAGAGACTAATCAGAAACTCAAAAGAATGCAAACATTTGTCTCCTATCTACCTATGACCGGGAAGCCCCCTCCCCATCTTTCCAGACCCAAACAATATTCATCTTACATATGTTGATTGATGTCTCATGTCTCCTCAAAATGTATAAAACTAAACTTTGCTGGCCGGGTGCCGTGGCTCATGCCTGTAATCCTAGCACTTTGGGAGGCCTGGGTGGGCAGATCACGAGGTCAGGAGATCGAGACCATCCTGGCTAACATGGCGAAACCCCGTCTCTACTAAAAATACAAAAAATTAGCCGGGCGTGGTGGCGGGCACCTGTGGTCCCAGCTACTTGGTAGGCTGAGGCAAGAGAATGGCATGAACACGGGAGGCGGAGCTTGCAGTGAGGCCAGATCACACCACTGCACTCCAGCCTGGGTGAAAGAGCGAGACTCCATCTCAAAAAAAAAAAAAAACTAAACTGTGGTCTGACCACCTTGGGGACATGTCATTGGGGTCTCCTGAGGCTTTATCACAACATCAACATTGGCAAAATAAACTTTCTAAATTAACTGAGACCTTTGTCAGATTTTGGGGGTTCATATTTTGGTAACCACGGAAGAATTCTGACTGGAGACGCCCCTATCAGTGCTTGGTACCAGCTTGAGCTATCTTTATGGCTCAAACCAGTAAGACAACTTGCTGAGACCCGGAAGCACCCCCTCCAGAGAATACCTTATCTCTCAAAATCTGGTCAAGATCTAAAGTTCATTTTACAGTACAACTCCTTTTTTTTTTTTTTTTTCCTTTGGGGTTTTACTTGCTTCTAACACAAGGAAGGCAAGTTTTTCCTGCTTCCATGACGATGGAAGGCAGGTAACTCCTTTATGGTGTTTGAGCTTGCATCTAACAGGGAAGATGAGGTTTTTTCCCTGCTTCTAGGATGGTAGAGAGCAGTCTTCAGCCTAAAAGCCATCCCTAGGTAAGTAACTGAATTGGGGTTTGTCTTGGCTAAAGTTAAGATTACAACCAGCTGTTCTTAATTTCTCCTGACCACTAGAGAGCTCAGTAATCATATAAATTGTGTGATCATTTGTTTTGCTTAACTGTTGTGTTGTTGTTTCTCTTTTTGTTGTTCTTTCAGTCTTTTTCCCATTGGGTTTGATCAACTCTATCTGAATTTATCAAATCCAAAGGAAGTTCCAAATTATGGGGAAAGAGGCCTCTGAGGTGGCTAAATTCACACACACACACACACACACACACACACACACAAGATGATGTGATGGGGGTGAAAAACGGCCAGCAAAAGGAAAAAAAAGAGGAAAGATTTTTTATTTTGACTACTAAGGGGCTTTACTTACGTAACAAGGCCACCTTTTTGCTAGCCAGGCCAAACTGAAAGAGCAATGGCTGTATTTCTGAAATAGCAGCAATTTGTCCTAGTGAGAGCAGCCCTCGCTCTCGGTGCCTCCTCGGCCTCAGCCCCCACTCTGGCTGTGCTTGGGGAGCCCTTTAGCCTGCCACGGCACTGTGGGAGCCCCTCTCTGGGCTGGCGGAGGCTGCAGCCGCCTGCCTCTGCTTGCCGGGAGGTGTGGAGGAAGAGGCGCCGGCGGCAACATGGGCTGCGGCAGCGCCGGTGGGCCAGCGTGAGTTCCGGTGGCGCGTGGGCTCCGCGGGCCAGCACGTGGAGGGGCCGGCCCAGGGCAGTGAGGAGCTTAGCACCCAGGCCAGCAGCTGAGGAGGTTGCGCCGGGTCCCTCAGCGCTGCCTGCCCGCATGCACAGTGCTCGAATGCTCCCTGAGCCTCAGCCGCCTCCCCGCGGGGCAGGGCTCAGGACCTGCAGCCCCCCATGCCCGAACCCCCGTCATTCTTGAAGTCAGCAAGACCAAGAATCCACCAATTCTGGACACACTAGCTGAAATATGGTAATGAGATTTTAAGGAGCTCAATGATTAAAAGTCAGCTTAATTAAAAACTAACATCCAAGGTGAACATGCACGTGTGTGTGCGCTTGTATGTGCGAATTTAAAAGGCCTTCATGTTTTTGTTTTTCTCCAAGGATCTTTTTTTTTGAGCAAAAGTTTTTTTCTTCTTAGTTGACTGAATTCTGTTTTCTTCATTTACTTCTGCTGCCTCTCCTTTCTCTTGCACCCTCTGCTGCATGAGGGACCTAAAATAGTTTATGATAGCAAGGGGTTCCTTAAAGAAAACAGGGAAGGCACCAGGCTCCGTTTAGGGGAGAAAAGTCTGTTTTTCCTTATGCAATCCCAAGAGTATAAACAGGCATGTTCGTCTCATCTCTTAAACTGCTTACTTTTGTATTGTGTTACCTGTTTGTGTACGTTTGCTTTTTTTTTTAAACTAAGATAGTTATTGCAACAGAGGTTACCCTTGGGGTATTTTTTTGTTTTGTTTTCTTTGTTTTTTGTTGTTTGTTTGTTTTTTGAGATGGAGTCTTACTCTGTCACCCAGGCTGCAGTGCAGTGGCGTGATCTCTGCTCACTGCAAGCTCCACCTTCCAGGTTCACGCTATTCTCCTGCCTAAACCTCCCGAGTA